AGTGGACCCTCTGCCTATGCTGAGAGTTTCTACAGCATTAGAATATTCACTACAAATCCAAGTGGAGATTTTCAAATTGCAACCAAATAAACCTAGCAAAAAACTGGCAAAGCTGGTGATGTTTATGGTCACTGCTACCCAAAACAGCTAGACAACTTTCCTCAAGAGCTGAAAGAGCTGCTCTCCTACAATTACACTGTCTTGAATGTAGATCTTCCAATGACATTTTGCAAAGCTTTGATCTCTGGGAGAAGAATCTCATCAATCCATCAAGTTTGCTATTGCTCTTCTTTGAACTTCTACATTGCCATACAAGCAATACACTCATTTTGTGACTCATTAGAATAAAAGTGCAAAATACAAGAATAAAATGAATAAAGTATTACAGAATTTCATGTGCATGTTAAGAGACAGCAATGCAACTGCAGCCAAGATATCTCTGAAAGTGATGACTCAACTCTTCAGAAGAAACATCTGAAATGATGCCAATGACTGTCAATGTTATCGCAATTCACGCTTCTCTGAGGTCACCAAAGTATTAGTTGCTGCCCTGACCTTCTCCCTAGGAAAAGATGAACAAGAGAAACAAGACAGCAACTAAGAATGTTAGTGCAGCATGCCACAGGGAAAAGAGACTCCAAACACAAGGTCGAAAAGGTTATGAAAGTGCTTAGAAACAAACAAAAAACAAAAACAAAAACAGGTGTTTAACTTCTCAGTTATCCATCTGATTCACGATTCTCCAAGATTTTGCAGAAAAACTACTACTGCAGCTGAAGAGCTGTAAAGAGATATCTGAAGTGAATATCATGCTCTAGAAACTTATCTCTAGACTGGTGGGAATTTATGAGCGTTTTCTAACTTCTATCCCTTTGTGCAAAGGTTTCTACAGCAGCACCAAAGAGAATTAGTAAGATCCTTCTGTTTGGTGCACAAACACACAAACATCTCATCACCTGGTACAGTCCCAGAGATCATTCAGTCACTCATGATTGTGGTCACCCATTTTGTTATGGACAAGAACTCTGGGGAAATCATGACAGTAGGAATCAATGAAAAAGATTCTATGAAAGAGGTAACAGTTTAATGACTTAAGAACTTCCTCAAGGCCTGGCCCAGTATAAAACACACAACGTTAAGAAAGTGACAATGTCTGCCAGAACTTTGACTCAGTTCTTCCAAACACTAAATCCCTCAGATTAAGAAATTCCAGGGTTAAGACTAGATAAAATCAAGAGTACAAAAATATGGAAAATTAGATGCTGAAGTTTACATTCTAGGAATGGAAGTGCTAGAAATTGAGAAAGAGGAAGAGAATGCTAAGAACAAAAAAGGTGGGTGGGAAAGTATCTGTCTCAATGAGGAGGATGTTAATGGTAGTAACTAGGTTGATGTCCATCACTCTTCCAATAAAGAACAGCAAGAAAAACTCCAAGAACCTGAACAGCTTCAAGGAGCCAGAATGTCCAGTCAAAAAATAAGCAGTCCTTCCAAGAAAAGCAACTGGCCCTACAATATAAACTTATGAAAAAGTAAAAAAGAATCAAATAACTTCCTAGCAACTTTTCCATTCCAAAAGACTGTTAAATTTGTGTTATTAATCTGAAAATTAGTGAATTAACAATATTTTTTTTTTTTTTGCATTAAAAAGTCCAGAAACAGGGGCGCCTGGGTCCTGGGATCTAGCCCTGCATCAGGCTCCCTGCTCCCTGCTCCCTGCTCGGCGGGAAGCCTGCTTCTCCCTAGCTCACTCCCCCTGCTTGGGTTACCTCTCTTGCTGTGTTTGTCAAATAAATAAATAAAATCTTTAAAAAAAAAGTCCAGACACACTATATTTTAAAAACCACCCAAAAAAGCACAGCACTGAACAATGATTGGTTGGATCCCTTTTTAAAAAACAATTCTGCGGGGCGCCTGGGTGGCTCAGGTCATGACCCCAGGGTCCTGGGACGGAGTCCCGCATCTCCCGCATCAGGCTCCCCACTCAACAGGAAGCCTACTTTTCCCTCTCCCACTCCCCCTGCTTGGGTTCCCTCTCTCGCTGTGCCTCTCTGCCAAATAAATAAATAAAATCTTTAAAAAAAAAAGCTCTGCAACATAAAAAGAAGCCCTATTATAAAATATAGATTTTAATTAATGACTATGTAACAATGGTTCATCAAGTGTAACAAATATACCACATTAATGCATGCTATTAATAACAGAAAATAGAGAGTAGGTGATATAGGAACTTCTATACTATCCCCACAAATTTTTGTAAACCTAAAACTGATCTAAAAAATCAAGTCTATTAATTTTTTTAAAACCTGCATGTATAGACAGATTTGTGAATAAACCTTTGTATAAGCAGACAAAGAGCTGGAAATCTCTACATCAAACAACAGCGGATTTCTACAGAGAGTGAAACTGGAAAGAAGGGCATAAGGACGAATCTTTACATCAAAAACTCTGGACTGTCTCAACTTTCCTACACTGAGCAGGGCTCTAATGAGAGGCTCTGTGACATATTGGGAGCCTGGGTCCTGAAGCCAGACTGCATGGATTCAAACCCTAACTGCACCATTAACAAGCTGATGAACTTGCGCAATTAATTTCTCTGTGCCTCAGTTTCCTCATCTTTAAATATGGATACTAGTATGTGTATCCACAGAGCTGCTGCAGGTATTAAATAACTTAATACATGTAAAGTATTGAAACACTACCTAGCACAAAGTGCTCAATAAATGGTGTTCACCACTACCATCAAGCATCTATTATTCCTCATTTTTTTTTTTTTAATCTTAACTGGTAAGACAAATCAGGAAAACTTGGCTCATCAAGCTCCTTTCTAGTAGCCAAATAACAATAATCTGAGTTTTTTTTAAAGCAGATTACAAACGGGGTGCCCAGCTGGCTCAGGCCTTGCAACCCATGCTCTCAGGGTCATGAGTTCGAGACCCATGTTCGGTGTAGAAATTACCTTAAAAAAATAAAATTAAAAAAAAAAAAAGATTACAAACCACCACCTAACAGTATGAGCCCATTTATACAAAAGCAATCGCTAACAGATTCTGTAATAATCACACGAACAAACCCCTCGGAGTAGTGTGATTCTGGACAATTTTAACTTTCTTCTTTATACTTTTCTGACTCATTTTAACTTTCTACATTACATATGCATGATTGTTAATAAAATAAAGTAGGAGTCAGCAAACTTTTTCAATTTCGGGCCAGATAGTAAATATTTTAGGCTTTGTAGGCCATATGAGTCTCTGGCCCCACTACTCAATTCTACCTTGCACTGCAAAAGCAACCACAAACAACACCAAAATGAATACAAATGGCTCGCTCTCAATAAAAACTTAACTTACAAAAGCAGACAGCTAGCAAAACTTGCCCCACAAGCTATAAAGTTTGAGGCCCCTGAGATAACAAATAAAATTATTTTCATTTTGGAACACAAGATGTGATTTATACTAAAGACAGTGCATCGGCTAAATTGATACTACTGGTGGAAAACGATTCATCCGTTTATTATTTGTACTAGTCTAGGGGTGGAAAAACACAAACTCTCTTTTAGGCTCTGGAAGTCTCATCATTAGTGTTCCGATAAGAGAAAATTTGCTACTAAGTAGCCTGTAAAGTATAGATATGAACATATACTGGTGGATATGCAGTTACAAATAGAAGCTAAAAGAAATGTCTTTCATATTTATACCAATCTGAATTTTTTTCAAAGTTCATAATAATTCACCAACAAGCAGCTGCCACCACATGAGTGGAAGTCCCAACTAGTGATGAAATTATTTTAGTTACAAACTGTCAGTCAGCAAATGAAAATCTTCATTTCTATGAAATGAAAAAACTAGGAGTGAAAAAATCTATCAAATTCTAACAGATTGAGAGTGAGAGGGTGGTAAAAGGAAACAATGGGTGGCCTTTGTTAAGAGAACACTTCAAACTTCAGAAATGATAGTTTAAGATCTCCCCTCCAAAATTAAAGCTTTGGGTTGAAGGAAATTGTTCTTAACACTTCAGTGAGAAGTTTTGTGATCAAATGATTTTAAATGTTATAACAGACTTCTTCAAGTTTTAAACGGTTTCTTGGGGGTGGGGGGGGGGCTGTTTTGGAAGAGATCTAATGGGAACAGAAGGCTGAGAAATCCAGAATCTAAAAATAAAATATTAAAAGGCCATCCTACTAAAAAAAAAAAAAAAAAAAAATGCCAAGAACCTGCACTGAAGTCACCATAGCTAGTAAAATTCCGGTCAGACATTTGAATCTTTCTACCAAAAGTCACAGTTGGGCCGTCTCATGAAGTTGTCAAATTCCAGAGGCAAACATTTATATTTACTGTCAAAAGCCAGAGGGAGAAAAGAAGTTACCTATTAGTTTCCAATCCGACCTCTGAGACCCCTAGGATTGACCATTACCCCTGTTACCATCAGTTTTAAAAGAAGCAAACAGTGACAAACTGAGGAAACAAGGGCCCAAGGTTCTTCTATCCCAAGGAGGTTGCCTGGAGCGCCACCGAAGAAAAGGTAAGGAAGGAAAATCTTCCTACCCCAGGGACTATAAAAGTAGTACCAAGCAGAACCCATTCGAAGCCTGCCACCAAAGAAATTCCTAGAACTAATAAAAGAGACAGAAATGAAGAAAGGGAGGGCAGTCTCTCGCTGGGCAATAAGGAAAGGCAACTGCACGCGAAAGAAAAAGAGCTGAGAGAGGGCTCCGGACCCCATGCCGGGAGGGGCGAGGCGGGTGGGGGGCGCCAGGCGCTACAGACAGCGGTTGAAAGGAGAGCGGATCCAGGCCCCTCACGGTCGGCCCCTGGGGCCACTGCACTGCGCGCTGTGCCCCGCGGCGGGTCAGGTAAGGAGGCCAAGTTGAAGGCTGGGACGAGCGCGCGCTCCCCGGCCCGCGCCGGGGACACTCTCCGCCTCAGCCCCTCACCTCCTCCTCGACCCCGGGCTCTCTCCCTTCGCCCGGGAAACGGAGCTAACACTCCAAAGACCCTCACCCAGAGCTTGTCGCCGCCTCGTTGCAGGTCTCGGACTCCTCGGGAACCACGGCGGAGGGGAAGGGGAGGAAAGGGGAGCGGAGGAGGGAGGGGACCCGGAGGAGCCGCGCCGCTGCCGCCGCCGCGATACCGCGTCTGAGATCCTGCTAGAGCCGCCGCGACAGCCGCCGCCGCGTCTTCCCGCCCCCACGACTGCACGTCGCCGTGACGCGCATCGCACGAGGCGGTTCGAACCAATAAGACCACAGTTCGTGCGCGGGCGCACTGGCCCAAACCGGAAACTGCTCTTCTGACCGCTCTAGAGCATGGATGCATCCTGGGAGTTGTGGTTCGGCCAGGAACTCAACGAAAACAGTACTGAGCATCAACGGACCGAAAGAAAGAGTGCTTCATGGGAGCGCACACAAATCCCCTTCGTTTTTTTTTTCTCCCACCAAGAGCGGAAGCAGTTTCGATCAGAAGAGTCAGGGACCCGCCCCAGCTTGGGGACGCTTTTTCCGGTCTCTATGGATACGGGCTACACACCTTGGGCGGAAGCCAAAATTTAGGGATTTAGGCTGGATCGTGTTTCTGCCAACAGCCAATATATTGCTAGGCGTCGTCTGTGAAAGCTTTCGAAATAAATCCGAAAGCATTAGCCAAGTCTTGTACAAAACAGTAGCGTTTGCCTTTTATTACCTTGTTAAGGTATTATGATTTATGCCCTACTCCTCAAAAACAAATGTGAACCCACTCACTCTTAGAATACACATAATTCAGAATGATTTGTAAAATGTTTTTAATGTAATAGCAGGTCAGAAACTAATTCAGCATTAAATACTGTGTCCATTTCCCAGAGTGAGTGATTTTCTACCTTTGAGGTTTCAACGGAGCTCTAACTTCTTAGAAATCAAAGAATGGTTTGGTTACATACTATTTCTATAAGAAAAGGAAGTACAAGCCCTCAACCCCCCATCCAAAAGTTCGGTTTTTCACTAACCAAAAGATTTACAAAGAGGGAATTTTCCGCTTTTCCAAAATGGTAATTGTTCTTTGCCTTTCGCCTGAGCTCGAGAAAGGCTTCATAAAAACGCGCTGTATTTTCGGATAGCCGGGTGAAACCTGGATAAAAATTGGTTGGCATATAAAAGTGTTTTCCTCACGTTCAGCTCTAAGATGAATTTATCACCCTCTGAACAGGTTATTGCCTTAATTGTAAAAACTCTTGTTAATGATTAGAGAAAATCCATAAGCTTTCAAGAACGCTTATGTGCATACCTTGTTTGTCCTTCCCTTGATCCACAACAAGAGAAAACAAAGAAATCTGGAAAAAGTTGCACAGATCTCATATCAAAAAGCCTAGAGTCTAATGTATGAGGGAAACACCCCTCCCCCCCAAAATAGAGAACTCTTCAACCCTGGAAATGTAAATCCTATAAGTGATTAAAGTTACTAAAATCACAAAAAGCATGAATAAGATGATCTTAATACTAATATTTTAGGCCACCCAGTTAAGCTTGCAAGAGATAAAATTAGTACAAATTAAATTATAGAAATTAAATGTAAAGGACGAAATTCCCTTCAAGGAGTGATTTACATTGAAAATATAAATTACCTTTTTTTAAGTTTGCAGTAATTTGTAAAGATATAGCAATAATGACTTCTATTTTTCCAGACGTAAAGACATAAAGCTTTTGAGATTGAAATCAAGGAAGACATTCATACACTTCCACAGCACACAGCACATCAAAAACAAAACACAGGCACCTTTGGATAGCAAATTTGACCCAGTATACCAACTCACATAGCGAAAAGATGAGAAGAACAAGAGCCTCAGGCTTGATAAAAGGTCTGCTAAAGGTGACAGAGCCATATAAGAAAGATAATTAAAAAAGAGATTGTTTGAAGATCTCAAATCTTTTCTCAAATCATCCTTGTCTCTTAATGACTTGCTTTGACAAAGTGCTTTACTCTAAGAAACGTCCTCTGGAACAGTACTTTATATGCTAAAACATGTGAGAAAGATTGTTCTCATTTTCCCACCAAGATTTTACCTCTCATTCTCTGTCACCTTGATCCCATTCCCAGATCACTATTGCCAATTCCTGATGCTTTCAATGATAAAATAAACCACATTATTTCCTCAAAATGCTCACACCTTCTCAGCTGATGAGGATATTGCCACCATACTTCCCATACATGTCCGATGTCTATGCTGGCTTCACCCACATCCCTTACCCAAATGTCACCATTAAATGTTCCAAAGCAGATTTCTCAGGCCTCTCTCCCAGGCTGTACTTCAGTTAATAATCCTTATATATATTATCCTATGACTAGCTGTCCAAAACCCAAAGAGAATTCAGTAAAATTCTGTATCCTCCAGTGTCAGCTGTGGATCTTTAGAATCTCTGCTCTCTCCATTCTTATCGTGTCACACTTCCCCACAGGAGAGTGTAGTTCTTCATCTTCTGCAGCACCAAGACAAGAGTCCCTTCTACCCCTACACCCCATACTAGTCACCAGTGACACAACAGTGCCCTGTGGCACAGCTAGTCTGATGTAGTCATCTCTACAATTATCAGATGCTGTTGACAAGGAGAACGCATCACTGGATGAGTAACGTTCATAATCTAGTTGCGACCATCCTGGAATGAGGCTTCAGTGACATTACAGTATGTTGCTGAAATGGTAATATTGGACTTTGCTCTAGGAACAGACTTAGCTTCCATTGTGATATGCAAGTCAATAGCCAATGGGAGTTGAAGATGTATCTAAAACAAGCAAATGAAGGTGCAGCTTTCAAATTCTAAAGGGTAAAAAAAAAAGAAAAGCCCTCTGGACTCCATTGTGAACTTAAACTGAGTCCACAATTGGTTTTTGTTACTTCTAAAAGAGCAGAGGAATTGTCCCATTCATTATTTTTCTAATCAGAACAATTGCTATTTTCAAGAAGAAAAAAAAAGCCAAATTATCTGCTAGAGAAAACCAAATTAGTAGTCTTCTTTGAATTGTTTCTATGACTTTCCCCCAAAAGATTACAAAGAGAAATCAGCTTCATTACTACAACATACTTAAAGGCCTCTAAACTTTTCTTTTCTCTGCCAATATCTATAAGCTTTTGAGGGGCGCCTGGGTGGCTCAGTTGTTAAGCATCAGCCTTCTGATTATGAAGGTCATGATCCCAGGGTCCTGGGATCAAACCCCACGTCGAGCCCCACATCAGGATCCCTGATCGGCGGGGAGCCTGCTTCTCCCTCTCCCTCTACTGTTCCGCCTACTTGTGCTCCTCTCTCATTGTCAAATAAAATCTTAAAAAAAAAAAAACTTTTGAAATATAAACATTAGAACTGAAGGAAAAATCTGGACAATATAGAAGTCGGACCATAAAAAAAGAAAAAGCAAAGAATGAGTGTCAAATCAGTCCCTGTGACTATCTCATATATATGTTGTAGGAGAGGAGAAACTCTTATCCTCATATGTTCCATGGCTGGCCTATGAATTAAACTGACAGAAGACAGATTAAGAGGAGAAAAGCATGCAAATGTATTTAATATTTTTATGTGTATACAAGTATCTTCAGAAAGAAAACGAAGACCTGAGGAAGACTTTATTGTTTTTTGAAGATTTTATTTATTTATTTGTCAGAGAGAGAGAGAGAGAGTGCAAGCAGGGGGAGCAGCAGGAGAGAGGGAGAAGCAGACTCCCCACTGACCAAGGACCCATACATGGACTCAGTTACAGGATCCCGGGATCATGACCTGAGCTGAAGGCAGATGCTCGACTGACTGAGCCACCCAGGGGTCCCTGAGGAAGACTTTAGACACAAAAGCTTATAAACTTTTTATACAAAAAATGAAAAACTGTAGTTATGTGACAAGACAAAGGGACTTCTGCTAAGAACAGTAAATTGTGGGGCAATGACTAGGAACTATACTGGGGAAACTAAGTTACTTTAGTAGGTTTGTTTGTACATGTCTATTTTAGCGTTGAATCCCAATCTCCGATGACATGAATGTTTGTCTCAAGGGATGGATGTCAACTAAACTTATTGTGGTGATCATTTAGCAACGTATACATATATCCCATCATTATGTTGTACACCTTAAACTCATACAATATTAAATGTCAATTATATCACAATAAAACTGGGAGGGAAAAAAAAATAATGTTCTCTTCCTGGCACAGAAAGGATTCTTTCTCATGGGAAATTTTATGACCTGTTTTTAGATAGAAAGGGGAAGGGTAGAGAGCCCTTCATGCATCTGCTGTTTCTCAGGTGCTCTCAGTTCAAAATAATCAACATGCGAAAGTGTCATATTTTGGGATGGCACGTTTTGAACCCCTTCCATGTAAAACAGTCAAATGCAGCCAGCTAATTGGATTTTGAAGCATAGGGATTCAAAGGTATTAGTTGCTTTAAAAATAATCTAGTAATCTACATAGCACAGTGAAAAACATAAATATCTGGGGCGCCTGGGTGGCTCAGTTGGTTAAGCGACTGCTTTCAGCTCAGGTCATGATCCTGGAGTCCCGGGATGGAGTCCCGCATCGGGGGGGCTCCCTGCTCGGCAGGGAGTCTGCTTCTCCCTCTGACCCTCTTCTCTCTCGTCCTATCTCTCATTCTCTCTCTCTCAAATAAATAAATAAAATCTTTAAAAAAGAAAAACATAAATATCTGTATTCTGGCTTAATTGCAATTACAATGATATCAAATATATATTGATAGATATCACATTAGTCTTAGATTTGAAAGTTTTCGAGGAGGCCATTTTAAACACTTAGAGAGGGGGGCCTGGGTGATTCAGTCGTTAAGCGTCTGCCTTCGGCTCAGGTCCTGATCCCGTGGTCCTGAGATCGAGCCCCACATCGAGCCCCACATCGAGCCCTACATCGGGCTCCCTGCTCAGTGGGAAGCCTGCTTCTCCCTCTCCCGCTGCCCCTGCTTGTGTTCCCTCTCTTGCTGTGTCTCTCTCTGTCAAATAAATAAATAAAACCTTAAAAAAAAAAAAAAAAGGGCGCCTGGGTGGCTCAGTTGGTTGGGCGACTGCCTTCGGCTCGGGTCATGATCCTGGAGTCCCGGGATCGGGTCTCGCATCGGGCCCCCTGCTCAGTGGGGAGTCTGCCTCTCCCTCTGAC